TGTCCTGCATCAGAGCAGGCACTCTGCTGAAAATGAGTCTTCCACGGGTCATTGAACCAGTGGAGTCCACAGCCGAGTTCACTCACTCTTTCAGATGTCACTGTCACCAGGCGGACGAGTTTCTGTCAGGAGTGGAGCCTAAACACCCTGACTCTCTCTCCACACAGCACGTTGGTAGTGACTTAGTAGTGGAAATGTGTGCACGTTGTCGTCGTTTTGAGCTAAGGGCAGATTGAAGTTTTTTGGAAGGAGAAGAAGTTCCTTTAACCTGGAGTGACTGTGAAGATGAGCTTCTGCTGAAGATTTGATAATGTTCTTAACGAATTTAGCGCACCGTCCTAAGGTACAATGGGACGACTTGCACCAGAGCTGCGCCGTGACAGCAGGGGGACCGGAGCTGCGCCGTGACAGCGGGGGGACCGGGCCTGCGCCGTGACAGCGGGGGGACCGGAGCTGCGCCATGACAGCGGGGGGACCGGGCCTGCGCCGTGACAGCGGGAGTGCTGCCGGCGCCACGCGGCCTCCCGGGCGCTGTGCTGTCTGAGGGGGAGCAAGCTCCCCGAGCCCGTTCAGGTTGGCGGCAGGCTGGCTACAGGCCCGGAACCCGAGCCCGCTAACTGTGCCGTGGCGGAGCCCCAGGCCGCCCTCGGGGGGTGCTCTGGCCTGTGGCGGGGTGGCCACGAAGGCCAGCGTGGCAGAGTCTTGACGGGGCTCCCCGAGCGCCTCTCCCTGCCACGTGGCCACACGGTCACGTGCTTGGGGACTGGTGGCAGCGTTTCTCAACAGTGAAATATGTGAAATACATTGAGATGAACCTGTGTCGTCAGTTTTGGTGATGAAGAACACTAACTTTTAACCCCAATTAAATATTATTCCCCCAAAAAAGAGCATATTCGTCCTGTCAGTAGCCTGTATTATAAAAATCGTACTGTTATAATTGCTGTGTTTTGAATTTCATAACTTCCGGTTTCCAGTTCCTCATACAAGGAACTGGGGAGTCTCCACTTTGTCCTAACAAATAAAAAGCCGAACAGACTGAGAAATCAGCCAATGTTCTGGGACCGTCAGAGGGATGGACACGGGCAGACTGCTGCCCCAGGACCGGAGAGACCGGCGGTGGACATGGGGCCTCCGGCTTCCTGAGCAGAGACTCCGGAGCAGAAGCCTCTGTGGGAACCAGCGCAGGACTGGAAAGCTGGGCTGTGGCTGTGGGATTGCCGGACGTTCCGTGTGCACAAGTCAGAGAGAAAAACCTGCAGGAGATCTGATCGTAGCAGGGGCCTCACCGTATCATGAGCTTCACTGCCAGGGACTCGGCCAAGGTCTCTCAGTAAATATCAGAGAGATATCTCTCATGCTTCCGGCAGGGGAAGAAAAGGAGCCATTCTGAAATATTTCTAACAAGGCCTGCCCCCGGGATGCTAGTTAACCAGAGGCAAACTGGGCAAGGGGAGCCGGTCAGCTCCAGCCACCCCTTCCCACTGAAGGGGGAGAACACAGCTGGGAAGCACTGGTGACGTTCAGGGTGGGGGGGCTGGTTCCCGGAGCCCTTCCCCCATCCCCTCTGCCCCGCATCACCACAGGCCAGGCCACGGCAGCTCCTCTTCCCTGACATGTCACGTCTGGCTCACAGGAAGAAATTACAAGGTGCGCTAAAGACAAAAACAGTTTCTAGAGACAGGAAACATCAGAACCAGATATGGCAGAGATGTTGGTGTCGTCAGCCTGGAATTTAAAACAACTGTGACGGGGCCTGGGTGGCTCAGTCAGTTGACTCACTTCAGTTCAGGTCATGATCTCACGGTTCAGTTTGTGAGTTCGAGCCCCACATCAGGCTGTGTGCTGACAGCTCAGAGCATGGAACCTGCTTCAGATCCTGTGTCTCTCTGTCTCATGCTCCCCTGCTTGCTCTCTGTCTCTCTCCAAAATAAATAAATATAAAAGTAAAATATAATATAAAATAAGATAAAACAACAGTGATAAGTCGGCTAAGGACTCTAACTGATAAAGCAGACGGCACTGCAGAACGGGTGGACAGTGTAAGCAGAGAGACAGAAATGCTAAGAAAGAAGCAAAAAATGCTGGAGCAGAAATGAAAGCCTCAGGTAGGCTTACTAGTAACAGGACTTGTATGCGGAAGAATCTAGAGGGTGAGGACCTATCAACAGACTCCGAGGCTGAAAATAAAGTGAGTGTGCACTAAAACTGAAAATAAAGTGAGTGTGCACTAAAACAAAAGCAGAATCTCCGAGGGCCTGGGATGCCCAGACGTGTATTGTGTGCATCACGGGATATGGAGAAGCAGAAGAGAGAGAAGGAACAGCAGAAATCTGTGAAATGATAATGAGATTCTCCCCAAATTAGTGTCAGACACCAAACCACGAACACCAGGCAGGATAAGTGCCAAAAACACAACATCTACGCATACTCTTCAAGCTACAGAGAAATAAGAGTAAACAAGCCAGAGTACAGAGGAACAAAGGTAAGAATTCACCTGACTCGTCTTCCAAAACTGTGCCTTCATTGAGAGTAGAGGGCGAAATACTTAGTGTCGAGAGAGAAAAGCCCCCCCAAGACTTCCGTACCCCGAGGAACTACCCTCCAGGAGCGGAGACATAGACTTTCTCAGCCGAACAGAGATGGAATGTGTTGTCTGTAGACCGGCTTTGCAAGAACAGTCCCAAGAAGTTCTTCAGGGGAGGGAGGCTGACCCCCCGGAGGGAATAATGAAGGTAAATCTGACAGGTGACGGTTTATTCAAAACGATAAGGAGCAAGAATGTACTTGATTATTATGCTTATGAATGTATTATATGTATATTTCAGTAAAATGCGCCTTCTCCCCGTTCTGCAAGTGCCTGCCTCCTATCACAGTTTTGCTGCTAAGCTGACACAATCCCAGGGTCCACTCTGCTCCTTGAAGGAGACGTCTGCCAGCCTGAGCTCTGGCTGTGACGTTGAGTCCGAATGAGGAGCATGGATGTGGATGCCCTTGTGCCAGGGGCAGGGCCCGGGTGGGGACGGGAATGCAGCTGACCTTCCACCCCTGAGTGTGAGGTTGGCTGTGGGGCCCCGGGGATGCCCTTTGTCATTGAGGAGGTGCCGAGAGTGTCAGGAAGGGACACTGGCTCGTGCCCTTCATCACTCCCCTGGATTTTCACAGCGTCCTAGTCACACATTATCCAAGTCAGGATAATGACTTGTAATTTTTATCTATGATGTTACATAAACTCTCTTTTGCATGACAGCATATTGTGGTGCTAGCTCCACATCAATAAATATGACCTGTATCAGTTTTCAAGGTTTGTTTGTTTATTTGGAGAGAATGTGTGCATGAGTAGGGGAGGGACAGAGAGAGAGGGAGAGAATCCCAAACAGGCTCTGTGTTGTTGACACAGAGCCCAACGTGGGACTTGATCCCATGACCCTAGGATCATTACCTGAGCAGAAATCGAGTCCTGATGCTCAACCCACCGAGCCACCCAGGCGCCCCTTAAATAACAAGTTACCTTGCTGAAAATTTATCCTGATTAACATTTCAATGCCAGTATATTCCTGGCAGAGAGTATTGTTATTTTCAATCTTATTTCATTCTGCTAGGTGAAAAATGTTTAGATGGGAATGAAAGCAAGGTAATGGAGGCTGCCCCATGTCTCCAGCTGAGGAGAGAAGTCTCTCTTGCGCCGACCACAGGTCTGCGCCACCTTTCTGGAGAACGTGGGGACAGCCCCACATCTCACGCCTTTATTCCTGAGCCAGCTCTCACAGGATTTTTTCATTTCTTTTCAAGCTAATCCCAAATTTTCCAGACCAGCCTTTTGGCTTGGTACTTGCCATATTTGGTTCAAGCAGCCCACCCACTCTGGGCCAGCAGTGCTGTCCCTTCGGTTCTGAGGGCCGTCCCCTTTCCGCCTGAGCCCCTGCCCCCTGCACACACGCACTCCTGCAGGATTGGGCATGCCAAGCGTCCGTGTGGGTCCAGGATGTGACCAGGACATAGTCTGGCTCCGTTGAGCTTGTGGCGTATAGGACAAGACACAGGTGCAGGTAAAAAGTGCAGCAGTTACCAAGTCGCCTACACAGAAACATTTATCATAGAGTGATTTGTAGGTTATTAGTCTGAGCAGCTTGGGTGTAGATTGTCTTTGCTACCTGCCTTGCGGCCCTGAGCAATGACTTGCTTCATTATCTGGGTGTACGCTTTAGAGTCACTTTTTGCTAAAAGTTGGTTCATAGCTGCCTTTTGTCAAATGCTCTGCGCTCTCACTGTCCGACCCGGCCGCCGCTGTTTGGGGACCCTCTCTGGTGCAGCCGGCAGTGGCTGGCGTGCTGACTGTAGGGAGCAAGGATGTTGACTGGTGTTGCCTCTGAGGAGCCAGTGTGGTGGATGGCCTCCCTTCACTAAGGAACCTGCTGGGATGGGCCGCCCTGCTTCCTCCTCAGGGTTCAGCGAGCTGTGATGGCTGGCCACGGACACCAGGGGGCAGTCTTTACGCACCACCAGGCACACCTGGGTGGCTGTCTAGCTCTGAAAGGATCAGGGGCCGCCGCTGATTTCTAAGCTGTGGCCACAGGCCTGAGGTGCCAGAAAGCCTGAGTCCCTTGCTGAGTAGCCTCCTGGTTGGCGGGTTATGTTTGCTGTGCTGCTGAGGAGTCCAGGATGTTGGCCAGATGCCACGTGTTGAAAATGGCAGTCTTGGGGTGGGGGCATGGGGTGGAGGGGCTTCTCCGCAACGGCCCGGGTCCACCCGGCCTCCAGCGGGGGGCCTGTGTGTCTGTGCCCACCAGCGTGGGCAGGCTGCCTGCTGCCCGGGGCTTCGCCTTGACGGGGCGGCAGCTGCCCCAGGATCCCGGGGATTCAGTCCAGATGTATCTTCTTGGTGGCGGCCATCAAAACCTCCCAGTCTCGATCTGTTGTTTTCTTTGTGTGGTGTTTGTGAACAGAATTTTAGTGTACCTCATTGCCTCCTTAAGATTAAAGAGTATATTCACTTTTAATAGCGGAAATGAGAAAACAGAGGGAATTCTACCACAAGTTAGGCATGGAGGTGCCTGGAGACATCAAGGGGGAGACCTGTTCTGCAAAGCAGCACCTGGATCCCCACCGGAATGGTGAGTGGGCTTCTGCGCCCCCACGGCCAGGCCGGCCTTTACTATGAACCCCTTTCTCAGGATGCCCTGTGCCTCCGTCCGGCGCTCCTGGTGCCGCTGAGAATGTGGGGCGGAGCTGAGAAGTGGATCGTGGACAGAGGGGTCCTGCGCAGGCGAACTGAGGGGAAGCACGGGGGGCCCTGAAAGTGCCTGGAGGTGGGGTACAGCTGTCCTGTTTTGGAACGGCAAAATAACATTGGGATTCACTGTAAAATTAGTGGTATTTTTAAATCTGTACACGCCATAAAACATTATTCATGTCTTTGATGCCATGACATTTTTCTAGTGAGCACAGTGATTCCTGAGAAGCTTCTAGACTGCTCTGTGTATTTCCAGTAATCTCAGAAGAAAGGAGAGATCTGGTCTGGCCCCTGGGAAGGGTGGAGGAAGCCAGGGGTCTCTCCCAACCACTCACTCACAATGAGGTCTTCGTTTTAAAAGCGGTGCTGGAATGATAGAGGCTGTGGGCGCCCTGCATTACCTGTGGGCACTTGGTGTATCGAGCGTGGAATCGTCCTGGGTGTGTCCGCTGCGCCCCGGTTCACACGCTCACAGACCCACGCACAGTGACTTCAGCTTCCCTGCGCCTTAAAGGGCTTGGAGTTTTAACAGGTGCTTTGGAGACAGCTCTCCCCAGTTTCTTGTGCTCTTAAAGGTGCAGCTGTCTTATTTGAGTGAATTTTTACAGCATTTTGAGTATACTCTGCAGTTAAAAAAAATAAGGGTTTAACATTCCGGATCTCATAACATAGTGTCTCCTGTTTTTGCTGAAAGGTGAAACCAAAGCAGATGACAGTTCGAACAAAGAGGCCGCAGAGGAGAAGCAGGAGGAGGACAACGACTACCACAGAAGCGACGAGCAGGTGGGTGGCGCCCGCCCCGCGCCCCCCACGCCCCCCCCCGCGGCCCCCCCGCCCCCGCGCCCGCTGGCGACTCCCCCGCAGGGCTTCCCTCGCTTAGAGCCGAAAGGCCAAACACTCAACAAAGTTAAAACGTCAAACATCTTAGGTTTTCCTTCTCTTTCGTTTTTCTCCTTAATTGCCAAGGTAATAATATGCCCACTGTAAAACATATTTATTTACTTTCAGTTTTTTTTAAGTCCTCATTTTATTTTGAGAGAGAGTCAGCGTGAGCAGGGGAGGGGCAGAGAGAGAGGGAGACACAGAATCGGAAGCAGTTCCAGGCTCCGAGCTGTCAGCACAGAGCCCGACGCGGGACTCGAACCCACGGACCGTGAGGTCATGACCTGAGCTGAAGTCAGACACTTAACCAACTGAGCCCCCCAGGTGCCCCCTAAAACATTTTAAATATAAAAACATTTAAGTCCGATAAATAAAAAAACATTAAAAATTTAAAAAAAAAGAAAAATAAATAAACATTAAAAAAATTAAAAAAAAAACAAAACAAAACATTTAAGTCCGTTCTCCACACACTGCTCCCCAGGTGGGAAAACTTGGTGCTGAGCATTTTTCTGTGCATGCGCACATATTATATAAAAGAAGATACTGTCCAGTCATGTATTAAAGAAAAAGAAAAAATGCAGCATTGAGGGAAATCTGTGCATATGCCATTTACTGCATTAACAATTTAAAAAAGAAAACAATCACAGAGATGCTATGAGAGTGTTTGATCCAGTCCCACACCCATTCGTACCTAGCTTTTTAATACAGCACCCTAACTTGAAACCTATCAGTCATCGTACTGAAATAGAATCATCTCGTTAATATCCGAAACAAGGCCGTGCACATTATCAGCTGTTACTCAGACGATTCTGAAGAGTCCCGGCCATGCACTGAGGAGACAGAAAAGAGACGTGTGTGTGACAGAGCAAAATGCCATTACTTTCCGATCACACTGTTGTCTGATGTAACCTAAGACAGTCGACCGGACACCGTTAGAACTTGCTGCTGCTCGCTAGGGGCAAAGATCAACCTCCAACAATCAGTAGGCATTGGCGGCCTTATTTACATGACCAGTAAAAATTCTAAAATACTCTGACAAGAGTTGTGTGAGGCCCAAATAAAGACACTTGTGAAAAAAACATAACAGAAAAGACTGAATAATTGGATGTTTCTGGGTGAAAGACTGATGTGAAAACGTCCGTTCTCTCCAAATTAATCTCAGTGGTTGTGATTTTAACTGTTTAGCATAGAATTTAATCAAGGGACACCTAGGTGACTCAGGTCCAACTCTTACCTCAGCTCAAGTCTTGACGCCAAGGTGGTAGCTCATGCCCGGCGTTGGGCTCCTTGCTGGGCTCTGTACTGGGCATGAAGCCTACTTAAAAAGAAAAAAAAATTAATCAGCTGCTTCTGAAGTTCATCTGAAAGAGGAGAAGCTTAAGAACAGCCATGAGAACAAGGGGTATTGGCCATCTCTGAGTATATATAATATATACATGTCTGCACTTAACATATGTATATGTTTATGGGATATATATATATTCTGATATACATACATTTAATTAAAAATATGTACAAATGTGTACACATATATGTGTACACATATATTTACCAAATAATTGGTGTGGTTTAGGTACAAGAATAGAATAACAGAATCTTAATTTTCCAGTGCTGTATTCTGTGTTGTTAAAATTATCACGAGCATTACAGAGAAGGAAGTATGTCTATGGAAATACAGAATACGATCAGTTGCATTCCAAGTCTGTAGAGAAGAGTAACAGTCCGGTGAAGCGCCCGTCCCATCGGGCCTCCCGGGCGCTCCCGTGGCGCCCTGTGCCAGCTGAGCACCTGGCCTCCAGCGCAAGGCCCGAGCATCGCTGAAGTTGCATGCACAGGGTTCTTCTCTGGCTGCATTTCTCTTTTGTCAGTTTTTAACATTCCCACTGTTTATTGTTACTAATTTTTGCTTGTTTCTTTTTTATTCTCAACATGCCAAAGATGTGTCAATTTGATTGGTTACTTTCAAAAGAATCAATTTTTGGTTTTAGTGGATCAAATGTTATGTTTTCTTTAAATTTTTTGAATGTTTTTTAAATTTATTTTTGAGAGAGAGAGAGAGACAGCGTGAGCAGGGGAAGATCAGAGAGAGAGGGAGACACAGAATCTGAAGCAGGCTCCAGGCTCTGAGCTGTCAGCACAGAGCCCAACGCGGGGCTCGAATTCATGAACCATGAGATCGTGACCTGAGCCGAAGTCGGACACTCAACTGACTGAGCCACCCAGGCACCCCAAATGTTGTGTTTTCTTAAGGATGCTTTTTCTGGCCTCTTTTTTTTTTTTTTTAAGTTTATTTATTTTGAGAGAGAGAGAAAGAGAACACAAGTGGGGAAGGGGCAGAGAGAGGAGAGACAGAATCCCAAGCAGGCTTCGTGCTGCCAGTGCAGATCCTGATGTAAGGCTCAAACCCGCGAACCTTGACATCGTGACCTGAGCTGAAGTCAAGAGTTGGATCTGAAATCAAGAGCTGGACGCTCAACCGACTGAGCTGCCCAGGCGCCCATCTTTTTCTGACCTCTTGAGTTGAATGAAGCCTTTGTCTCTGTACTCTTAGCCTCTTTTGTGTGTGTGTTTTTTTAAATAGTTTATTGTCAAGTTGGTTTCCATATAACACCCAGTGCTCATCCCCACAAGTGCCCTCCTCCATGCCCATCATCCCCTTCCCCTCTCCCCCACACCCCATCTACCCGCAGTTTGTTCTCGGCATTCAAGAGTCTCTCATGGTTTGCCTCCCTCCCTCTGCCTCTTTTGTGTTTTCAGGCACACGCTTCCTGGCGCCCTTTGGCTGCATTGCTGGGTGCTCCTTTCCAGAGCCTGGGTCCCTGCCTGGGGCCAGGGGTGTGGGTGCCCTTCTTGGATCCTCTCTCCAGGGTGTCTTTCTCTTTTCTTTCTTTCTTTTTTTTTTTTTTAAATGTTTTATTTATTTCTAGGAGAGAGAGAGAGAGACAGCGTGAGCAGGGGAGGGTCAGAGAGAGAGGGAGTCACAGACTGAAACAGGCTCCAGGCTCTGAGCTGGCAGTCAGCACAGAGCCCGACGCGGGGCTCGAACCCACGAACCGCGAGATCATGACCTGAGCGAAAGTCGGACGCTTAACCGACTAAGCCACCCAGGCGCCCCTGTCTTTCTCTTTTCTTCTCCTCCAGCAGTTTCAAGATCTGTTACTTTTCTCTGTATTTCTCTAGTAGTGCTCTTAAATTTTAAGCATGTTTAAATGTATATTTTGTGTCAATCTGTAGAATCAGTTACATCTGATTCTGCTTCTCAGAACAAGAGGATCTTTATGTTCTTTTCTGACTCCTCTCCTCCAGTGTAGGAACATGTAGGACATTTTCACCTTCCAGAATTTGTTAAAGTCCTCTAAAGTTTTGCTCCAGATCATTTTTGGTAATTTTTAATCTTAGGTGATGATACTTTTGTAATTTTACTGGTAATTTTACTAAAGTTTTCACACAGTGTTAATAATTATTTAGATTAACAAAAGGTTGTGTGGGTGTTTGTGGGCTTTTTGCTCATACTGCTGGGTTTAACCCATCTTCCTCTTTTGTGGAGTCTGGGTTTCTTTTGAGGAAGGAGCATCCTTCCTCGTTTATTTTCAGAGAGGGTGTGTGCATACTGGACTTTGAGCTACCCCATGTCGGGCCAGTCCTGTTTCCCACGCGTGTTTGAAGGATGGTGGGGCTGGGTACAGAATTCTAAATTCAGAATAACTTCTTCTAACTTTGAAGACAAACCCTCCCTGTATCACTCAGATGACCTGATTGAATTGCGCACTTTTAACACTAAGCATCAGGAAAAGAAAATGAAAAACATGTAAGAGGAGTATGAGCCACCCAAGCCCTCACCAGGACGGAGCTCTTGGGTCCAGACACACCAGATGCCGCTCAGGTTTCCCTATTCTCGAACCATGCCTGGGTGGCAGCTCTCCCCTCCCTTGGTTTCAGGAGTGTGATTCAGTGATTCATCACTCACAACGTCCAGTGCTCATCCAAGTCTCTCCTTAATGCCCGTCCCCCGGATAGCCCATCCCCCACCCACCTCCTTCCATCAATCCTCGACTCATTCTCTGTATTAAGAGTCTTCTGTGATTTGCTTCCCTCTCTGTTTTTATCTTATTTTATCCTATCTAGATAAAATAGATGTTCTGGGAATGTGGTAGGTTGATTTCTAATTCTTATTTCAAAGAGCAAAGGGGTATGATCAGTGAAGACAATTTTGAAGAATAATAATAAGGGGGTATTTGCCCTATCAGAAATCACAGCTTCACAGGTAAAATAATTAAATAATTGCAACTCAGTAAATTACTTGTGGTTTTGGCTCAAGGGGACACAACAGAGCAGTGGACAGAACAGGACAGACCCAAGCATGGGTGTAGACCAGCACAGGACAAGGGAGCAGATGCCGACAAGCCAAGTGGTCAGCCAGTGAGGAGAGGAAACTTGACCTCCCTCCAGCTGCATACACATTACCTGCTAGTGGCTTAAAACCTCACAATAAAAAGTGAAACTTTCAGATATTTTACAAGAAATTATAGGAGAACATATTTGTGACCTTGGCGTGGGGAAAGTACCTGAGCTACAAACATTGATGAATAATTTAGTTCACCAGGGAGGGAGAAAGAGAAGGAAGAAAAGAAATAAGGAGGGGAGGGAGGACAGAAAAAAAAGAAAAGAAGGAAAGAAAGGGAGAAACGGAATGAATTCAGATATATTTTGTGAAAACGTGGGGCCTGACGAAGTTGCGTCTGGTTCGGGCACGGCGTGTCTTCCCTCACCTGGGCCGCTTTCCCGTGGCCGGCCTGCTAGATGGGCTGTCTGCACACCCTGCTCGACCCCTGACACTTCTGGGCGACACTTGTTCCCCTCGGTCAGGCAGGGCCGTCGTTAGAAATGGAGCTTTACCCCGT